AGAGAGAGAGAGAGAGAGAGAGAGAGAGAGAGAGAGAGAGGAGACAGAGAACTCTAGCACAGACTTTCAATCCAACATGATTTTTTTTTCTTTTTTAAAATGTTTTTCCCTTTAAAGGGACATAATTAATCTCATGCTCTATGTTTTTAGTAGCTTTCCTCTGAGGCCAGATAGAGCTGAACCCTTGTCCACAATCTGTACCCAGCTGGAGGTACATTAAGCCACCGGGCACAGCCAAGGCAACTTTTCCCTTAAGAGCGGAGGGGCAAGAAACACAAATGAGACCAACAGGCGGAGTCTGAAGTGGGAGCTGTGGCCAGGCTGTCTGTCGGTGGACAGGTGAGGGCTGACATGGTGACCCTGGAATCTTCTAATTAGGCTCCTGTTTCAGCCTCAGTTCCTAAATCCATTTAAATCCCACTACTAATGCCAGGAGCCTCAACCCTTTCGCTTGTGAATGCTGAGGGACATTAGCTGTAATCAAGTGTTTTCTCTTCCGCCACATGCATTTCCCTTAGGACTGACTCTTAGGGGTGGAGAAGAGCTAAAAGGAAGGGCGGGCAGACTGGAGACGCCTACACACCCCAGATATGCCTGGTCAGGCAATGCATCCATTGTTCTACAGGCAATGACGCAATCAACTCATGTAAATTAAGAAAATGTATCTCAAAATCAGCTGCCTCATAGCATACCATCCTCGTGTCCCTTTCCTTTCTATCAACAAACACAGGAGAGCAGGGTGCCATGTAATGTTTGGAATCAGGAAAGCAGAATGGATCTGGCTAAGTAGGAACACAGTCTGGAGATGAAGGAGCAGCAAAGGTATGGAAGAGAGACTGGGAGGGAACTTGGATCATTCATCCATCTGAAATGTGCAGACAAGACACGCCATAAAAAACATACATTAGTAGTTGATATACATGTGGGACCACGCAGATTTTTTTTGAGATGAAGGAAATATTTAAAATTTGTGATTTTGCACAACTCTGAATATTCAGAAACTAGACCGAATGTCATAATTTAACTATAACTTATATAGTATGTGAATTATATCTCCAAAGGTTATCATAAAAAATCTTATGGAAATTGGGGGAAGATATTAATTAATTCCAACTGGGTTGAGATCAAGGAAGATCTCCTGACAAGGAAGACATCTGAGCTAATGAAGTGGGCACTTTTAGAACAGTTGCATGCAGAAGTGGCCTGAAGTAGCTGCCTCACACGCTCTCTTCCTAGGACCCTGCCCCACAGCCACACAGTTTATTTCTGGGATTCAGGAAGACTTACTCCATAGACACCAAAAACCTTTCTACATAGTGGTCCTAGACGGCTAGCCATTATGGAGAGAGCAGGAGTATACCAGGCAACTAGAACTCAGGACGCAGCAAATATAATAGGGAAACATTCATATGCAAAATTCCTTTCTGTCCACTCTGATGGGTTCTTTGTGTCTCTTAAGGGCAGATACAGAGTTACTGCTAGCAGTGTGTTTGGCAGACACTGATAATTACTCCTCCCTCCTGTTGTATTAGCAGAGTTCCAGTCATGCCAAAGAGACTAGAGTGACCAGCAATCAACTACATTTTTTGGTTTTCTTTCTAGAGTGATGTGTCCATGTGGACAGCAAGACAGACAGACTCAGTGGTCAGTCCAGCTTCCCTCCTCCCTGATACCCTAAGTGATGAAGAGCAGGATTTTCAGACTGCAGAAGACAACCCTAGAAAAAGGCAA